GAAAAAGACCATTTAAAAATGGGGACCAGAATTTTGCAAATGAAGAGGTTGTTTAGTACTCGATACTGAAAAATAAAGGTAAAATTTTTAAAGTAAATATTGCCAAAAAGATGTATCTTACGTGCAGCTATTGCATTCTTCTTAAAGAATGAATCAAATTGTCATGACTGGTCTTTTGCCACAGCTGCGAGATGTGCCCTGGCAGCCTTCCCTTCACGCTCAGGACAGTTATTTCTTACAAAACTCTGCTGAAGTGCTGGAGAGCATCTTTAGTTTTTCCAGGTCCTTTTGTAATCCTTTGATTTCAGATTACTCTTTTTTGTAGCAGCTTCATGTCGTCTGGTCTTTTCTTATTTAGAGGTCTAGCTCTTCCAGAGCCAGACTGTCTGCGACTTTATTTGCATGTGATTCGAGAGTTCCATAATGTCTATTCCACTGCATCCTGCATTCTTCTCCTGAGGAGCCATTTACCTTTAAGGCTGACCTGCATTATTTTTACTGTTGTCCTTAGGATTGTCTGTGAGAGACTGACAAAGACATGGGCCCATGACCACATGGACTCCACTTCACTAAACAATGTTCAGCTAAGGAGGGCCCCACTAGCTGAAGTCACAAGGGTTGCTGCGTCTCTCTGGTGATGGGTCCAACACAATTTAAGCCTTTTTAAAACGTGGCAGTTTTATGTAGTATTACTGAGAGTTTGCCTCTTAAAGCTCTGATAGCAAGATTCTTAGCTGCAGGGAAAATTGGAGTTTACATTTCAATATCAAATTACCATATTGTTGGCTGCTAGGCAGTAATGGGCCATACTCTTTATACTCTCAATAAAAGTAATCACGTAAGCAAATTATAAATTGTCCTATTTACTCTCTGCCTTTAAACACAAATTTTGTAACTTAAATAACATCGATTTATCCTTTTGGTCAAAACCTCATATATCTCAAAAAAAAGTCCCAAGACAAACATCAGCTGAAATAAAGTTTCCTAAGTATACTGTGATAGTTCTAATGGTACATCTCCTTGGAAGTGTATTCTCCTTTCTTACCCCCATCCAATCTACTTTCCACCTCCAGGAATCTTTCTCTGTTAAAGCTAGCTTCACTGTGCTCTCCTCTGACCTCTTTTAGCAAGCATCCATGTAATTTAACATTGCCTTTGGTTCATCTTTTGGTAATTTCCTGTATATTAGTATTGGAAATTTGGGTTTGTAATTCCTTCTCATACCATCCTCAGTATGGATCATTGAGTCATTAAAGACCTTTCTTACCCAAGGACCAGTTTGCCTTTAACCATGATTTTAAGCTGTTACCTGAAACTTTTCTTTTGGTTCTTAGTTCAGCTATCACATAACTATCATGGATTTTTTTAAATGTTCAGGTTGGAATTCCTATGTCATGAGTTTTTAAGACAGGCTTTCTCAACTTATCCAGAAGAGGATTTGATGCTGGAAATAAGATATCATCAGTCAAAGGGAGCTCGTTAAAAACACTTCTGTTGTTTCTTCTGATAATAAAATTAATCTATACGCTTTGAAAAAGATAGGCAAGCCTAGGGAAGAAAATAAAGACCCGTTATCTCACTATTCAAATAACTAACCATTGTTAACATTTTGGTTTCTCTCCTGCCATTTTTCCCCCTATGCATGATAAAATTTTTTCACTTAATATATCATGAACATCTTTCCGTGTCAGTAAATATAATCTACATCATCACCTTTAATAGTAACATTGTATTCCGTTGAAAAAAAATACCCTGTTTAATTTTACCCACCCCCGTAGTGGACATTAGTAACAGTGTTTTGCTATTATGCTCAGTATTATGATGAACATCCTATATAAATTTCAGTGAATTTACCCTATTGTTCCCTAAGGGTGAGTTTCTGGAAGTGTGGTAGGTAGAGCAGAGGGTAAACACATATGAAACATTCATGTATGTTACCCAGAGGCCCCCCAGATGATGGTTAGTACCTTTTCAGCTTCTCACCAACAGCATTGGAGTACCCTTTTAGTCCCCAACACTGTTAGTAAAGCATTGTCAGACTTTAATCTCTGCCAATTTGGTAGTTATCAAGTCTTGTTTTTATTTCTGTTTCTCTGAATACTGATGAAGTTACATTTTACCAGCCATTTATATTTCTTATTTTGTTAATTTCCAATTATCCTTGCCCATTTTTTTTTGTTACCCGTTTTTCTATTCCAGTGTTTCTCTTATTTCTAAGAACTTTTTATATGTAAAGGATATTTACTTTTTGTTGTGAGTTTTACATGTACATTTCCCAAGCTGTGTGTATTTGCAGAGGGATTTTTTTTAAGCACGCAGAATTTTTTATTTATTTTTTATTTATGTTTTCTTTTGTGTGTGTGTTTATTCCTTTTTTTTTTTTAACACACAGAAGTTTTAAATTCATGTGTAGACATTTTCTTTAGCTTATGATTTGAGACATTGATATTACTTGTGGAGAAAAACAACCTTACTCATTCTGAGATTATGTAAGTATTTACCTACATTTTCATCTTACCTTTTAATGGATATTTTTAATATTTAATAAGCCATTGGAATACAAGGTGCAATGTAGTAATCTCACCATATTCAAATGCTAAAAGGTAGCTATTTTATAAAAACACATTAAAATTCATTTAAACACCTAGTTAATGGACATACTTTTTAACACTTGTGTAAACTTTTAAATCACAAATGGTTGTCCTAAATTTTGGGTACATGGTACAGTGTGGACACCATATTAAAATCTGAACTAATTAAAGTAATTTTCCCCTTTTGTCAGGCAGGCATTTTACTCTGTAATATCTTTGTGTGTGTGTTTTTTACCTTCTCTGTCAGATTATAAATTCTTTAAGGGCCATGTTCATATCTGATTTATCTTTGTATCTCCTGTTTCCATCCGTTTGTATAACTAACAGTGGTGCTCATCACCAGTGTGACAGGCACCGGTCACTGGGAAAATAGAAAAAGAAGACACTGTCCCTGCCCTTGTGGGGCTCGCCATGTAATAGGAAAGTTAACCACAAGTGTAATACTGCAGTCCACTGCAGTGATGAGTAAACTCTGGCGACATGAGGCTTAGGGAATTTCTCACAGAGGGATCATGCTGATTTGTGTCATGAGGTATGCACAGGAATGCCAAGTGATGGACCCAAGAGAGAGATTCATTCTATCGTTGCAGAGGAATGCGAAGCATTTCAGAGCTCTGCAGCTTGTGTTAGTATGGCTGGAGTGTAGAGTACATTTAGAGATCTGTCAGGGGATTAGACTAGAAGGATAGACGGGGACCAGATCAGTGCTGTCCACAGAACTTTCTGCAGTAATGACAGTGTTATGTATCTGCGCTGGCTAATGCAGAAGCTCCACATGGCTGTTGAACACTTGGAACGTAGCCAGTGCAACTGAGCATCTGCATTTTTAATTTCATTTAATTTTAGGTACTTTAAATAGTCACACATGGCAAGTGGCTACCATATTGAACAGTGCTGGACTACCATGTTTAAAGACTGTTAGGGACGCCAGTGTGGCTGGAACAGAGTGAAGGGGGAGAGTAGATGATGAGGTCGGAGCTGTAACAGGTGGCCAGGAGCTGTAACAGGTGGCCAGAACCTGTAGGACTTTGTAGGTCAGAGTGTAGGCCTTTGGTGTTAAGTGTGATGGGAGCCTGGCTGGAACAGAGTGAAGGGGGAGAGTAGATGATGAGGTCGGAGCTGTAACAGGTGGCCAGAACCTGTAGGACTTTGTAGGTCAGAGTGTAGGCCTTTGGTGTTAAGTGTGATGGGAGCTGCTGAAAGATTTTGAGTGCAGGAGTAATGTAATCAGGGTCCTGAGCAGGGAGGGTGTGGATATCAGCTTCAGAAGAAGAATCTGTGCCTGAGGGTATTGATAGAGCACTGGAGAGCCACTGGGTTGAGACTGCAGGTGGAAAACCAGTTAGGTTGCTGTTTTGCCGGAGTAGGCAAGACTTAAAACCTGACTTCAGGCAAAGGTGGTCAAGAAAACAGACAGATTTTAGATAAAATGATGTTAAAGAAATAGAAGAAATCCATAGGAAATTGGATTTGGGAGATGAAAGGGAGGGATCAGTTTCTGATTTGAGCAGCTTGGTGGAGTCAGGATTGGGACTGCGGGGGGGCAGAGCAGGCTGGGAGAAAAGGGGGTGAGGATTGCAGTTCAGGAGTTCAGTTGTAGAAATGTTTTTCATGGTCCTGTTCATGGAGATATTCACGGGCAGCTAAAGGTGCATGTTGTAGCTCAGAAGAGAAGCCTGAGGTAGAGAGAGAAGCTTTTGAGTTATCTGATAACGGAAACAGGAATGAGGCTGACCAGTTAGAAGAGAATGGACAGAGAGATCCCTTGGGAGCACAAGAGCAGACAGGGTTGGCAGAGAACAATGGACTTGAAGGTCCTGAGCAGGAGTTGTCCAAGAGATAGTAAGCAGACTAGAGGAGACAGCCGTCTGGAGAGGCCTGAAGAGGAAAAGCAGTGCCCTGAAACCCAGAAAAGAGAGACACATCCATCCTTGGCTCTGGAACATGGGAGGAGACCCTGGCTGTAGGCCCCTGTCTTCCCTGTGATTTGAGGTTGGAGATTAGAGGAGGGGCAGTAATGGGGAAAGGGACACAGGACTGACTAGGGATATAGTACCTTGCATGGTACTTTGCACATGAAGGGTAAGTCTCATATTTACCAGATCAATGGATATGTTGGTTTCCCATTCAATCACCTGCCTACCTCCTGCCTCCACCCCAAGTCTTCCTTGTACCATACAGTATTTAAGTCTTATTGGATGTCCTTATATTTCTGGTTCACTGATGTGCTTTTAGGTAGAGGGCACTAACTGGTGCCAGACTGTTAATCGTCTCTTTTTGATTTGGGCTTCTGTGCCAGCATGAAATTAACTTAGAAGTGTGTCGCTCAGAATAGACCCTTCTAACAGTTTCCCTTGCAAGGATCACGTACCAGGTTATGAGGGGTAGGATTTAAGCACACACTTGATAAAATAAACATAGACATTTTCTTTGATTGTGCTCTCTTTGTGATTTTTCTCACTTCCTGGAACAGGAGGGTTCTAACTCCGTGAGGACCCCAGCTTTGTTTCTGTAAATGTGTGTGAGGGCCGGACTCCCAGAATCTTGCTGGTCGCTGACTTTTCAGTATGGGGAGGTGAGTGATGGGCCTAATCACCGGTACTGTAAAATCTGAGATTTTGATGCCACAAAAACAGGCCTTGAGAGAAAAAAACATCCAAATCCCAAGTGGAAAGCATTGGAAGTTGTGTCGCACTTCTTCTGTTTAGCACCTTTATTCTTCCAGGGCCCAATGGGGCGCCTGTCATGGGAGAGAGTGTCAGGTAGATTCTACAGACAGTTGTGCAGGTTCCAGTCAAAGCTGCACACTGGGATCTGTACGGGGTTATAGAAACACAGGATAACTGTAGCCTCTGAGCTGTGGGGAGGAGGAGGACAAATGCCATGGTGTGGCCCAAGATCCCCCGTGGAGACTAGACACTACAGGTGGAAAATTCTGTTGGGTTAGCAGGATACCTCTGTCTTTCACGAGGTGTTTTATTCTATGAAGTACTCTTCAAAGTGAAGAGCATAGAAATTAACTGTAAAACAATAAAATTTATCCTAAAGTCAGTGCAGTTTTTTTTAAAAGCCTAATAATAGTTCTAGAATGAGCCTCTTATTCCTGCCGTAAACTGAGAAGAAAAGTTCCTGTTTATTTGCAAAAAAATGTCTCATAGGACTATTTCTAAAAACATGGGACATACAAAACTCATTTATTGATTTTGTTATGGGGATGTTGTTAAAGATGTTATTTCTCCCATTACTGAGACGTTAAAGAGAAATTCGCCTTGAATTCAGTGTTAGGAAAATCTTACTCCTCCTGAGCAATTGATATGGTTCTAACCTAGTGGACGGTGTTTTGGCTGCTGGGATACTTAGTGATGTTCGCAGGTCTACCTTACGCCGTGCATTTCTACATACTAAATTTCCCTTTGCTTTCATCATCCTTAAACCTGATTTCATATTGATGTATATATCTATCTTATTGCACTTATTCTTGTAAGCTGTCTTTAATTCTTCTTGGACCAAAGCAGGGTAAAATAAAAATCTGCATAGTATTCTCAAAAAAGGGAGAAAACACAAAGTGTCATAATCAACAGGGCCTAATTCTCATTCATATAATTTTATATTAATGGGTTCTGTAGCAAAATAGAAATGTAAAAGATGTTGGTGTATGGATACCTACAAACAGGGAAATAGGGGTAGCTCAAGTTGAGTAACTTACTATAGGATCAGTTTAGGTGAGGGGAGGCCTCTTTGGAGCAGATGGCTTTAAAATCTGGGGGTTTTTTTTTTTGTTTTGGAATTTCAGGATCGGCATCTCCTGTCTTTTTCCTGCTTCATGGCATTTTAGCATCTCTCCAGTGGGGTGTCCTCGAATTCTGAATACCAATTTGCGCCAAATTATTGTCATTAGTGTCCTGTCTGCTGCTGTTTCTCTTTTATACTTTTCTGTTGTCATAATCCGAAATAAATATGGGCGGCTATCCAGAGACAAGAAATTTCAAAGGTAAGAGATAAAAACATTTGTTTTCTAGATGGAATGCCACACTTTCTGTCTTATTTGGTTCGGGCTGCTACAACAGAATATCATAGACTGGGTGGCTTATAAACAACATAAATGTATTTCTCACAGCTCTGGGGGCTGGGAAGTTCAAGATCAAGGACTCAGCAGGTTTCATGTTGGCGAGGCCTGTTTTCTGTTTCATAGATGGCGCCTTCTCACTGTGTCCTCACATTGGGAAGGGTGAGGGAGCTCGCTGGGGTCTCTGAGGTCTTTGCCCTCATGATTTAATTGCTTCCCAGAGGCCCCTTCCTCCAAATAGCATCACATTGGTGATTAGGTTTTCAACATATGAATTTGGGGTGGACACAAACGTTCAGTGCGTAACATCTCTATTTCATAGCCTCAAGACATTTGGGGCTAGGTTGGAATTTAAGGAGCATGTGACTGTAGGAACTAGATTCTGTACTGAATATAGCATGGCATGAAAAATTTAAACTCTTTGTTAACTGCTGACCACTGAATCCATATCATAAGAGGCCCTGGAAAAATTATTTAGACATAAGCTTCTCCTGTAATGTGTTTTAAACTGATTTTTCAGTTAACGTTGGCAGTTTGGAAATACAATGTTGCATTTTGGAATTTCTGTGAACTTCTGTAAAGGAATAATGAGTGTGTATCTTATTTAGATGATCTTTATCACCATCACTTGTTTTATTTCCTTTTGACTCTTTAATGATTTTAATTGTGAAGAAGTGTTATAGTGTTGCTATTACACAGCTTAGAAATCACTGACTCGGTATTTGTCTTCTGTATTTTCTCTGTTAGGATTAGGATGATATGCTCTGTCTAAATAAAGGCATATGTGTTTTTCTGCACAAGGTACTTGGCACGAGTTACTGACATTGAAGCTACAGACACCAGTAACCCCAACGTGAACTATGGTATTGTTGTGGACTGTGGCAGCAGTGGCTCTCGAATTTTTGTCTACTGCTGGCCAAGGCATAATGGCAATCCTCACGATCTGCTGGATATCAGACAAATGAGGGATAAAAACCGAAAGCCAGTGGTTATGAAAATAAAACCCGGTATGTAAACGAGAACTGTGTGGCTGGTAACCAGGTTCTGTGCTCTTGATCTCAGTGGTGTCTCTCCTGCCTTTCCCTTTCTCTTCACACTGTCACCACCCACTTCAAAGCTCACGTGAGGACTTAATGGGGCTCTCTGTTTCACTTTCTTTTCCCTTTTTGGTCCATTTTGCATAGGGTGACTAACACCTTGATAAAACATCCAAAACCCATATCTTTTTGTTTTCTGTAGCATTTGTCACATGCCTTACTCTTGGTGTCTACTCAGATGTTTGCTAGTTGACATTAATTGTGGAAGGGATTTTCCTATTTGGTAGCCATTGGTCTCTATCCTTAATGACAAGGTAATTTCAGATAACTCATAAAAATCTATATTCTGATATCTTGGTATATATTTGTCATTTTTTTCTTTATTTTGTTATGGTTGTCATTTTTAAAAATTGCTGCCCAAATATATTTCTGATTATCTAGATTATTTAATGAGGGTGACCATAATTATGTCCAGTTTTTAAAGATTTGGTATATATTTGTCATTTTTTTCTTTATTTTGTTATGGTTGTCATTTTTAAAAATTGCTGTCCAAATATATTTCTGATTATCTAGATTATTTAATGAGGGTGACCATAATTATGTCCAGTTTTTAAAGATAAATAAATAAATAAATAAATAAAAAAGAATAAAGATATTACAATGTCTAAGCCAGTGTGATATGTAAAAATTGAAATTTGGCTTCAATATTAGATTATTTAAATCAGTGATTTTCAGCCTTTTTCTGTGTCATCATCACCATTTCCATGGACAGCTTCTGTCGGGAGCATTAGGAATGGAAGATATTAGGAGTACCTTGAAACAAGCTTTTGATGTCTTGATAGTTGATAATCACTGATTTCAAACAGTGACCATAGATCTTATTAGAGATACAGTGTTTATTTCATTTTACCAATGTACTGATTAGTAAAATATTAAATCCAAACAATCTAAGGAATTTATCTTTTAAAATATTAGAGAATATTGGTAAATAATTATCCTAGCTCATTATCCCCTATTTCAGAAATATAAGTAAAAAGTATATTTAGTTTAGCATGATAAAATACATGTCCTCATAAAACAGTTTCTTACTACATAGAATGTAGACCCCTTGAGTCCTGTTCATTCTTCGCTGAGTAATTCAGACCCCCTTCAGGCAACACTCAACAAGTTGATCATTCTTTGATGTTTGGGCAGCTGGGTACCAGCATATTACTCAGAAAATTAAAAATCTCTACCTCATTTTTTAGGTTAAAGAGAGCGAAGCTAATCTGTCTATAAATAAGCATTATTCTGATATCAGAATACATTTCCATGAACGAAGATTAACTTTTCTCAAAGTCTTAATTTTTAGTTTTCTATTTTCCCACCCCTTAAGTTTTTATGTATGCCTAATCTACAAACATTTTCAGAGTTAAAGTAATATTGATCAAATACAAAAATCACTGAAGGCTAAGAAATAAAACTCTATAAAGCACTTTGCATTTCTTCTAGCTTCATATACCATGTTCTATCAGTGATTAAGTTGGTCTCATGGAGTAAGATGAGGCCTTTCATGTCTTGGAGTTGTCCTTTTAGAACAAAGGATCAGCTACAACATCATTCCAGGGTACATACCAGAATCTCATTAAAATCAGGCTTAACATGGTTCTTTCCCTTACTCTATGTGGAGAGTTTGAAATGGAAATCAAAATACCTTTTTATAGCACTTCTCTGTGCTGACACATGGAACCCCATTTATAGCACATTTCAAGGCTCTAGAAATTTCCTTAAAGATTCTGGCTAGTTTGGGGCTTGGTGTCCATTGTTTTTTTTGTTTTTGTTTTTGTTTTTGATGTTTTTTTTTTTTGGCAGCTGGCCAGTATCAGGGAATCTGAACCTTGGTGTTATCAACACCACACTCTAAGAAGCTGAGCTAGCTGGCCAGCCCTGCTTTAGTTTTTAAATTAATAATTTCATATAAGATATACCAGAGCGATGTGTTTATTTATTTATTTAGGAAAAAAAAAATTCATGATGTGATATTTTGATATGTAAACTTTTGGATTGCCTTACAGCCAGCAGAAAGCCATTCTGGAAGACCTTCTGACTGATGTCCCCGTGCACTTTGATTTTCTGTTTTCTGACTCTCACGCAGAAGTAATTTCAGGGAAGCAAGAAGGTTGGTATATTGGTCTTCAACTTAAAATTTGGGGAACTGTTCCTTTAAATCCTTCCTATTTTCCCCGTTGTATACTTTATTAAATTACTCTTAATATCTTAAAATTTGGGAAATGATAGCATTGAAATATTATAATTTTTAAATGAACTAAATTAGTTTTTTATGACTGATCTTTTTTTTTATTATTTTATTTTATTTTATTTTTCTGACCTGTAAGAGGATCACAACCCTCGGCATGGTGTTATCTGCACCATGCTCAGCCAGTGAGTGCACTGGCCATCCGTATATAGGATCCGAACTCGCGGCCTCGGCGCTACCAGCGCCACACTCTCCCAAGTGAGCCACAGAGCCGGCCATATGACTGATCTTTATTACCCAATCATTAAGCCATTAAAAAATAACTCAGTTTGTCTTCACCACATTTAGGGAACGTATTTTGAACTCATTTTGATAGAAAACTGTGTGTTCCCTGCTTAAATTATATGGCTTTCTGAGATGATAATAATTATCAAGCTATTGGAAACTTCTGATTTGCTCAGTAGAAGGAAATTCTTCCTGACTATGATACACTGAGGGAATATTAGTTCTATTTTCAAACAAACGATTCTACTTGAGAATGAAATTGCAGGTCAGTGAAATTATTTGGGGAAAAGCTTGCTAGAAATGGAGACCAAAGTATTTATTTCACAATTGTCTGTCATTTCAGCACATACTTCCCATGTGAAGGGCACTGTAGAGAACACAAAATCAGGTGAAATTCAGATATTTCCACTGAGCTTCTTATAGACAAGTGAGGTACTCATTGAGCTGCTATATGAGGTAGTTTTAGGTGCCAGAGGAAGATAAGGAAAAAATATCATAGGAATTTGAAAGAGGGAGCCTTTTTTTTTTCTTTTGCACTAGGGCCATCATAGAGAAAGTGACACTTGCACGGTGGCTCAAGGGATAGTGGGAAATAAAGCATACCGGCCAGAGTAAGGGAGGGGCTCTCAGGGAGGCATAGGCAGCAGATTCGAGGCAGAAGAAATGATTTGAGTCAGTATGGGTTGGAGAGGATGCACCAGACTGAACAACAGAAATGTTTAGCTTTACTGGACTGCAACCCTCTGGAAAGGTGGCGGTGGTAACAGTTGGACTGGTCTTCAAGTGTCGGTGCAGGGTTTGCATCTCCTTCTGCAGATCAGCCCAGTGGCAGAGGACAGAGTGGGGGCAGGAGGATCCAGTAGATGGGCTCTCACTGCCTCTCTCAGTAACAGCTTAGATCAAGGTGGCCGTGGAAATGGCTAGAGATTGGGTATAGGAAATGTAAAAATAGAATCAAACTTGGCAACTGAGTGAACACGAAGGATAAAGGAAAAAGAGTAGGAGATACCTTGAATGTTTAAAACCTTGCATCTGATGTTTAAGTTCAAAAGATAAACAGTCCAGCATTTTGAAATAACTCATACCTTTCAAAGAAAAACCAGCACCTGGGGAATTATATTTTCAACCTATGTAAATGATATAAAATCATAAATATTAAAGTTAAGAGTTCTTGGGAAACCTTTAGGAAAAGATCACTACATCACTAGAGATGTGTTGTTTCACATGGTGTTTTCGCAGGTTGTCAGGGAGTAAAATAAATGAGATGTTTGCACAGACTAAATTGAGAAGAGTTACATGAAATGTTTTAAAACTTTATTTTTCTTCACCCTGTGAAATGTCTATAGGTGTGTATGCGTGGATCGGCATTAATTTTGTCCTTGGACGATTTGAGCATATTGAAGATGGTAAGTGTCATGTTTCCAACTAATGTGTGTAACTGGAAATGATGGTTTTTCTATTGAATCCAGAGGCTGAGAAAGGAGCTAAGTTTTGTGCCACTGCCAAGTGTGTAGGATAGAGCGGGAGGAGCTGCTGTTGAGCACACTTACACTTGGTTTTAGTCGGGAGGAGTAGACTGCGTTTGCCTAAATATGCTTGAAGTGTACCGTGGAAACAAGATGACTCTTCAGAATGTCCCAGTTCTCTGGGTCTGTTCCGTTCCACTGAACATTTCTTGTTCTTTCCAGACGATGAGGCAGTCGTGGAAGTTAACATTCCTGGCAGTGAAAGCAGTGAAGCCATTATTCGTAAAAGAACGGCGGGTATTCTCGACATGGGAGGCGTGTCCACTCAGATAGCGTATGAAGTCCCCAAAACTGTAAGCTTTGCCTCCTCACAGCAGGTCATTATCTGTACAGATTTCCTTCCGTTTGCTTTCTTTTCATTTAACATGTTTCCATCCGTTTTTGTTTTGTTTTCTGAGTCTGAACACACCTTTACTGTGCTTGCTGAGAGGTACCACCTTCTCAACCCAGGAGAAAGGAGACAGGAGGGACAAGGCAGACCTCGGCTAAGCTGCTTGTGTTTGTTCATTGAAATCAGCTGGTTTGTTTTCTGAACTTAGGGTTTTTCTTTGGTATATACATCAGTCACATGCTCGAGTTTCTGTTTTCATTTTCTCTTTGGTCACTTCTTTTCTCAACAGGTTTTTAAAAAGTAATATAATAGCATCAGATTTCTTAAGTTATGATTGGGGAAATGTTTTTTTTAATGGCTCAGACAGTTTTTGAATTTTCTGGAAAGAATCGATGTTTGTATCCACTACTTCCGCATTCCTGAATTTGTGGTTCATTCTGTCTTTTCCCCATCACCTACAGAGCTCTCAGTCACTGCCTGTGAGCTTCCTAGTAGGTGGGGAGCCTTGCATAAAGAACATCAGGATGGTTTCCAGATATATTCCTGAATTGCTACCTGTTTTTTTTTTTTACAGGTTGAGCATCCCTAATCCAAAAATCCAAAATGCTCCAACATCTGAAATGTTTAGAGTACCAACATGATGCTCAAAGCTCATGCTCAAAGGAAGTGCTCATTGAAGCATTTCTGATTTGGATTTTCAAATTAGAGATGTTCCACTAGTATGTATATGGAAGTAATCTAAAATCTGAAATCCAAAACACTTCTGGTCCCAGGCATTTTGGATAAGGATTACTCAACTTGTACTCTTATTTCTGTTCAGCTGTGAATTAACAACAAAGCCTGGTTTCCTACATTTTCGTCCAGAAGGTGGGGGGGCAGCACACTGTGCTGGTGAAGAGGGAGACCGTGGAACTGGACGAGCCTAGGCTGCCTCATGATCCTGTTCCACAGTAGTTATGTGACCTTACACAGGTCATGTAGCTTCTTTGAGCTGGTTTCTTCATCTATAAATTAGAAAAGAAGTACCTACAAAAAAAGTAGGGTTATTTTAAGGTTTACGTGAGATAATGCATATGATGAATCTAGTGCACTGCCAGGTACCTCAACTGTGCTCAGTAAATGTTATTGACATCTTTATTAAGCTCCTTGGAAAAATGCTTTGTAAATTCAAGTATTCTGACTTGTGTTTTCTAGTTTCCATTCAGACTGCCTCTAGAAGCTACTACTACTGTCTTTGTAAAAATTCTTCCCTCTCTCCCCAAAATAAAGTAAAAAATACATATAAAAGGAGTTTGTGAAAAATACTGAAAAATCAAGATTAAAAATTTCCCAGAGACTCATCTTCCCAAAAAACCATTGTTAGCATTTTGGTGAATTTCTTTTAACAATGCATGAGCACGTTCCTTCATAAACTATTGTTCACTGTAATCAACTTCACCTTACTTTGATGTTGTATTATTTAGATGACATTCAGTTTTTTCTGTCATAGAATTGCAAAGGACATCTTTGTGTATAGAGACTTTTCTATGTTTATTTCCACACATAGAATTCTATAAATAGATTTACTAGGTCAGAGGGTATGACCTATATTGCTAACTTCCTTTTTGAAAAAAAGTCATAACAATATCATAAATGTGCCACCCATCTGAAATTTCCTAAGTCAGAATTGTCATATTGAATTATGTTTAGAAGGATCTTTGGGAAACACAAAAGCAGGAATTTTTGGCCCTCTTAGATGAGACTCATTTTAAACTGTTGAACAGGAGGTTAAAGTTGCTTAAAATATTAAAGTTTGTTATTCTTATGTCTACAGGAGGAAGTAGCTAAAAATTTGTTAGCTGAGTTTAACTTGGGGTGTGATGCGCACCAAACTGAGCATGTGTATCGAGTCTACGTGGCCACATTCCTTGGGTTTGGTGGCAATGCTGCCCGACAGAGATATGAAGATAGAATATTTGCCAACACAGTTCAAAAGAACAGGTAAAGTGCCTTCCACTACTCAGCAGTCATTTGCAAACCTAGGTCTCTTCTAATAAACAACAGGTCCAAACAAAGCAGGAGGGCTTAAGCAGCAAAAGTGTGTTGGCACCATTAGCTTGTTAGCTTTTTACTCCCCCATCAGTTGAGTATGGAGAAGGAACCAGAGGACGTCAGGGTCCTGCCTCCAGCCCTCTATCCTACTCCGAAGGTGGCTCACACGCCCTCTCCTTCAGACCGACCCCTCACCTGATGGATTAGGAATTTCACCAACAGGCTGTAGAACAATCTACAGCCCTGGGTAATGCAGGTCACAATTGCAGACTCCTAGAGAAGCTCAGCTCTGGGGGGCACTGCTGGTGTCTTGGAGGCCTGCAGCTAGTATGCACACTTGTCATCATGAGAAGGTGGAAATGTGTGATATTCTGGAGACTCTATGCGTAAGCAGCCTGTGCAGCTATTTAGCAGGTAAGAACCATAGTGAAGGGAGTTACTCAAGAGAAAGAAGATCTGGAAGTCAGAGCTACTGGTTTTTGAACATTTTTAGGAATGAAACTTTTAAAAATGAGCTTGTGTAGAAATCTGGTATAGAAAATATATAAAACAAATAAAAGCTATCAGTTTAAATTTATTTTGTAGGTTTAAGTATATAGCAATTATTTATGTGAAATTAGTTCAGAAGAACAGAAAACCTGGAAGAATAAAAAAATCTGAATTTTGGGTTATATAAGATATGTTAACTACTGTGTTTTATTTATTTGTCTTGGTAACAGAACTTTGAGGGGGAAAAAATCCTAATTCGTGGAGCTAAGCGATAGTATACTTCCTTGATCAATTTAATCTTAAAAACCTGTGAAATCCTTAACATTAAAAAAGACCAAGTTGGAGCTGTTCAGCACCCTATTTACCAGAAATTCATGCATGTAAATAGGAAAAGCAATAAAAACTTTTTCCAGTGTCTGCTCCAAAAGTTAATTGAATAGTTAATTATGAAATTTGTAGTCTCATGTTTTGTTTGCTTTCTTAAATTGGTGTCTAGCACATTTTGATATTATTTTTTATAGTAGTCTTAAGATAGAAATATTTTATAAATGATATTTGAATCATATTTTCCCAGATTCACTGAACACCTTCTTCTGAAACCTTAATCTTTACTGATTGGTTTTAATGTCAAAAAGCTATGTATAATGGACAGGTCAGTGGTACTTCTTAGTTTATATGTAGGCAACTAAAAATAGTAGCATGAGGTATACATTTGACTGCTTTTGGACTTTTATAATAATTGTAATGTTTCTATGTCATGAATTGAGCAGTGCAATTCACGTTTATCTCTTTGGCATTTATGGCAGTAATTGGTTTTTTTAAACTGAGTAAAACATTTTTATGGCAAAGGCCTTAATTTATTACACTCACATGCATTATGAGTATCCCTGATTTAAGGAATACACAACTTGTCAGTTGAGTGGAAAGTAAAAACTTGACTTATCGTCAGAATGATGAACTCTCATACTGAATTCCAGCAGTATTTAGCTTCTAACAGTTAAGCATCCATAAGGCAATTTTATGTTATCGACCACCAACGTCACTTCAGTTTTTGTAAGTTCTTTTCTGTTTCTCATTTGCTTGAAGGTACATGCACACAGTAGGTTGACAGATGTTAATTCCCAGAAAATTCATTGGGGAGTTGTAAGCCTCATGCATTTCAATTAAAGTTAACAGAAAGCATTTCTTTTCTACAGGATTTCTCAGAGCCCGAAGTCCAATAGGAACTTTGCCATCAGCTGTAATTGGGACCAATAGTTGTTTAGTAAAAAATTAAAACATAAATTAGTTGGAACAGAGAATCTTAACAACAGAGTCAAGCGTTAAACATTTTGTTTTAATTTCTATGTTCATTTGCTGTTTTTTTGCTGTGAGCTAAGCTTTCTTAGCCTACATTCATCATTTCTCTGGCGTTCAGTGCACCCCTCGTTGAGATGTCAACTTGCCTTTCTTTAAAGAATACCAAAGATTAAAAGATATTTACAAAGCAGTTTGGTACTGAATTCTTCTATATTTTTATTAATTTTTCCCAATTTTCAAATCTTGCCCACACCTAGTTTGACAACAGTTTTTTATTAACTTGTCTTTATCAGGTTTTTCTAAAGCATCTAACCTGGTTTCCCTGGATCTTTTCACAGTCACATTTTGTTTTTTATTAACTTGTCTTTATCAGGTTTTTCTAAAGCATCTAACCTGGTTTCCCTGGATCAGTTCTTTTCACAGTCACATTTCATTCATCTATAGATAGTTAAAATCACAAGCACTAGTGGCAAAAATGGGGCTGGGAGCAACTCAGCTGCTGGGCACTCAGCTGCTGGGAGGGTCTGGCTGTGCTGCAGGGAATCAGAAGCATCGGGTAATGGGACAGGCTGTTTAGCTGGGCTCTGTTAATGTGTCTGCTGCACACAAATGTGTACCATGAGTCTCCGAGGGTCAAGTGCATATTTTCCTAAATGAATTATCCCACAGCCCCTTTGTGTTCCCTGGAGGATGTTTTGAGAAACACAGGCTTGCAGCCACTTCTCTGAAGCACGGTTTTCTGTAGGACTCGCGATAAAGTTTCTCTCTGTGCTGTAGGCTCCTGGGTAAACAGACCGGTCTGACTCCTGATATGCCGTACCTGGACCCCTGCTTACCCTTAGACATTAAAGATGAAATCCAGCAAAATGGACAGACCATATACCTACGAGGGACTGGAGACTTTGACCTGTGTCGAGAGACTATCCAGCCTTTCATGAATAAAACAAATGAGACACAGACTTCCCTCAATGGGGTCTACCAGCCCCCAATTCACTTCCAGAACAGTGAATTCTATGGCTTTTCTGAATTCTACTACTGCACCGAGGACGTGTTACGAATGGGGGGAGATTACCATGCTGCTAAATTCACTAAAGCTGCAAAGGTAACCTTCAAAGAAACCATCTGCTCCTGCATGCTTCTGAGAGACTGGTGTGGACAGCGACAGGCTGTGTCCTCCCTTCCCATCAGGAGGGAAAGATGGGGTGGGAATCGTGTTCCCTTTGGTTGGGGGAGGGAAACAGTTACAGCAGAAGTGAAAAAGCCACTGTAGGGCCGGCCCGTGGCTCACTCGGGAGAGTGTGGTGCTGATAACACCAAGGCCACGGGTTCGGATCCTATATAGGGATGGCCGGTTAGCTCACTGGGTGAGCGTGGTGCTGACAACACCAAGTCAAGGGTTAAGATCCCCTTACCGGTCATCTTTAGAAAAAAAAAAAAAAAAGCCACTGTAAGCCAACTTCTACTCACTACTCCATGAACTGCTGTGGTCACCATGACCTCCAAATTGCAGTCTTGTGTTACTGTTCTCTGCTGTATCTGACAGTGCTCCTCCCAGCTGCACACTCCTGGCCTCTTGTGCTCCCTGTCTTCTGCCAGTGTCTCCTCGGGCTCTTTCAAGCCTGTTCCCCCCACCACCACCTCTCTTCTACCTTGGTGGTCCAGACTTCCACCCTTGGCCCCCTGACCTTCAGGTTCGTGGATGATCTCATCCATGCTTACGGTTGCTGCTGCTCAAGAAGAGGTTCCAGCCCTGACCCCGCCCAGTTGCCTGCTAGATTTCACAACTCCAAACAAACCCACCATTTTCTCCCCATTCTGCTCCGGTTGTGCTGTCTTGGTTAATGGTGTCACCAACCAACCAGTCCCCCTCCCTGAAACCTCAGAGTTATGACTTCTCCCTGTTGCTCATTCATCTCTCCCTATACGCCCCTGTATCACCAGTCACCACATGTGATATTCTGTCTCACAGGTATCTCTCAAGCCCATCTCTGCTTCCTGTGCTGTCATCGTTGTCCTAGTCCAAGCTCCTGTCTGTCATTTGCGCTACTGCAGGAGCCTCCCAGTTGGTCTTCCTGCATCTAGTGATCTCCATCATTCACCCTTCATGCAGCTTGCTGAGCATCCGAAACACACATCCATCACCTTGCTCTCCTACTGACAACCTTCAGTGGCTTCCTTTTGCTTACAGTATTGATTTCCTGTCCCTTAGCACATCCTCCCCACCTCTGTAGCCTCATCTCCCTACCCAGCTCTTGTATTTTAATCGTATCAAACAGCTGTTAGTTTCCTGCACTCGAGGCAACATCTCATCTGTGTCTCCGTTTGTGGTGTTTCCTCTTCCTACAATGCTCATGCTGCCCCTCTGGCCCCAGGCTGAGTGCTGTTCCCTTGTGTTCCCTAGCGCACACCCAGGCATGTGTCACCACCTCTCTGAACCTCAGTTTCTTCATCCTTTAAATCAAGGTTAGAGTAGGAGGCATGTCGAGTTGAGTATTACATTCAGAAGAAGCATTTGCAGTGTGCTCAGTGGTGTTCCTATTAGGACTCATGTTATTACAGATGACCCCAGGGAGAGGTGGTACCTCTTTCCCTTCTCTTAAAGATAAAGCCTTCCTTAGTCACCATTGTCTTCCCAGTACCTTGTGCTGTGTCTGCCACAAACATAGTACTGAGTTTGAACTAGCTAAGATACCACATCACTCTCCCAAAAGTTTAGCTGTAATGTGCAGTCATGGAGGGAGAAACTAAACAGTTTTCAAGAGGGAGGTTGGTTGTGGCGGTGAAATGCTTTTTCACAAAACCTTTGGCAGAATTTTAAAGAGCAAGCATCACATTTGCTGATCAGTAAGTGCTCACTGAGTGTGTCTGTCTTGCATTCATTTTACACGTATGTAAGTGAAGCTTGTGTATTTCCTAATTGGAAAGGTGTGCTTGTTATGAATGTGAATGCGATGAACCATTTTTAAAAGAAAAAAATGTTTTAATAAGCCTTTACTGATGGTTTTGGGGATGACATTTCTTGCAGGATTATTGCGCAACACAGTGGGCTACCTTGCGGGAACGCTTTGACCGAGGTCTGTACGCCTCTCACGCTGACCTCCACAGGCTTAAGTAAGTAGTGGGCCAGTCAGGCCTGGGTGGGTGTTTCTAAGAAACCAGTAATTCAGAGTCGGACCCTCTGGCTCCCCATAGCCTGGCCCCGATCTACCTTTTTATCCTCCTCAGTCTCTATTCATCTACTCTTGGCTCCTGTCAAACAACACAAGTACTTGTGCCTAGCCATAGTATGATTTTTTGTCCAGTTTTGCTGTTCTTCCCCCTGAAATTCCCCTGTTTGTATCTTTGCTCGTTCACATCCTGCCCAGATATGAAAGCTAGGTCAGATGCTATCCCTCTCCACTCTTCCTCTGTCCACTCCACCAGACTCCATCCCTCTCGCTTCAGGTCTGCAGGATGCTCATCACACCTCTCTGATGTATTTATCATGTTCTGCTTTGTTGTATAGTTATTAGTTGCTGTTTAAAAATCCCCTTTCATTATAGGTCACTTAAGTGCAGTAACTATATCTTATTTATTATTGTATCTTATTACTTTCTTAGCACAGTGCTTTGCAAAAGATAAGACTCTAATAAATACTGAGAGTCATAGAATATCAGAGCTGGAAAGGACTTTCCTACCTTCTCATTTTATAGTAAAGAAACTGAGTTCCAAAGAGGTTGGAATTTGCTCCATATTTAATCAATGAATAAAAGATGGAATGCCTGAGGGAGGAAAATATCTGTCATGGTAACAGATTAAATTATGCCAAAACAGAAAAAAGGAAAATAAATAAATAGATAGATAGATCAAGTTGCACAAGCTAATTGATTTTGACAGGTGAACTGTTTCGTCTGTGGGATATGGGGTAGAAACTAAGCAAATCAACTTGAAATACATACAGTTGGTTTGGCTGCTCAGCAAGCTGGCCAAGGAAGACTTTGCACCAGTGCTGTCATAGAGAAAGGCCATCTCCATGTACGATGCCACTTTGATGAGTTAATCGGCCTGACTTGTGTTTGTGCTTGGCATTTGTAGGTATCAGTGCTTCAAATCTGCCTGGATGTTTGAGGTGTTTCATAGGGGCTTTTCTTTTCCTGTCAACTATAAGAACTTAAAGACCGCCTTGCAAGTTTATGACAAGGAGGTTCAGTGGACCCTGGGAGCAATCCTTTACAGGACCCGCTTTTTACCCTTAAGGTAGGGCTGTGAGATGGGTAATGGAAATCAAAAAAAAGATGCCTTTTTGCTGTCACAGTGCCTCATGGCAACTGTGCTTTGTAGATGTTTGGGGTACTGCTGTTAGAGCTGGCTGTGGACAGAAGCGCGGAGTCAGAGAAGTTTGACTTTGGTCTTCCCCACCTCCCCCAAATACTTCCTCCCTTCCCTTCCTACCTATCCAATAATATGCGGCACTTTTGTGCTGCTGTTCTGTTTTGATTATTCTCAACTGTCTATTCCCACACCCTGTAAAAGGATTAATTCAGGGGTTCTTCACCTTTATGGCCTGTTTTTTAAATGTATAGTATAAATATAGAGGATTACAGAGGAAACTATTATACTGAAATACATTTAGCAAAATAGTACTGAAAACAGATTTGTGATACAGTAATATATGCTATTCTTTGTTAGCCCATTAAATAACAAGATCTGGCAGCAGAACTAATAATTTCTGTAATGTCCGTGTGGTGGTGAGTGTCAGTGCCTCAAAGTATCAGGCACTGACAGCACTGTAATGGGGTGTAAAAGATCTGTGGTATTCATTAGTAACAAAGTCACAGGTCCTGCTAATACTACAATAGTTTGTGGTCTACATTCATGATCAAAGGAAATACTAAATTTCAGTCTGAGATTGGTAAATTAAAGATGTGCATTTTTCCCCTTCTAAGTTTGCTGACCCAGCTGTCAAGTGACCCCAGCTTAAGAACCTTAGTTAATTGGTAAATGAGATACTAGCTCCTGTTTTTCCCATTTAATTGAACATCTCCCAGCAATACTTTTATCTGGGCTAACTGTAAAAATTGTGACTAGTGGTTATTACTGCTCACAAACATGTGGTTTAATTCCACATTGACTTCCATGTATTAGTGAAAACCTCACAGTTGTGAATTTCTCTGATTTTTGGTACCCAAGTTGTAGTGATGGTAACTGTCACGGACTCATAAATACACTTTCACATGTTATCTCATTAATAATTACAAGTACCCTATGTTGGGCCATACTGTCCTCGATTTCAGAGGTAAGGAAATTGAGTCTCAGCAACTGGGGTCACGGTTCCTGTCTGTGGAGCTGGGGGCTACACCAGGTCCGCCTCCGCCACCCTCAGCACCCTGTTTCCGTCCACTCCCTCTCTTACCTGTCCTGTTTGTTTCTGTTGTTCTGTCTCCATGTGGGCAGAGACATCCAGCAGGAGGTGTTCCGGGCCAGTCATGCTCACTGGAGGGGTGTCTCCTTTGTCTACAACCACTACCTGTTCTCCGGCTGCTTCCTGGTGGTCCTGCTGTCCATCCTGCTCTACCTGCTGCGGCTCCGGCGCATTCACCGGCGCACACTGCGGAATGGCTCGGCTGCCACTCTCTGGATGGAGGAAGGCCTTCCGTCCCAGAAGGTGGCTGGTGACTTATGAGCCCGAGTTAGACAGCTCCAGGAAGACTCTCTAAAGGAAAAGCCATTTTTGCCTCAGGGTTTCTCCTCTTTATTCTCCTATGGTTTTGTTTTTACTTTCCTTTTTTGTTCCTTAAAACAAAAACAAAATTCATTGTTTGTAGGCCCTGCTGTCCTAGAAATATTGCATTTAACTGTTTTGAATACAGCTTTAAATTGTGGAGTAGGAAAAAGGAAATTCACTTGATTTTTGCTGCATAGTATATCTGTCAAAAATTACTAAAATTTTTGGGTGTTCTTTAGGCATGTTAAATTTTAAACTAATGCACTTTGATATTGGAGGGAAGTGGAACAGATGCTTTCTATTAGTGGAGATAGGACTGAAGATTGATACTTTTACAGAATGAAAGAACTTATTGACCAAGATTATAATTCTCTTTTTTCTCTCTCTAGAGAGCTCTAACCTAAAGAGAATGACATTTGATTTTTATTTATTGTTCAGGTCTGTCACTCTGTGTGTTTTCTTTTCAAGTTTAAAAATTCGAAACCATTTATATCCAAAATAGAGAAATATAAGCACCAGAAGGTAACCATTTTTACAATTGATGGTGAAGAGATGTGAAAAATGTGAACTATTGACTAGAGTTTTGTGTACGTGTGTGAAAAATGCTAATGAAACAGGATGAGGAAATGCAGTGCTTTTTCTTTTAAAAACACACACTTCAGGATTTATTGTTTCATTTCATTTTATTTAGAAAATTCCCATTACTGTTATATTTTCCTGACCACAGATTACTTTCTTTATCCCATCTTTCAGCAGCCTTGGAACACTTTGTTTTTGAAAGAATTAGAAAATTCATAGAGTTTCACTGGTTTCAGTTTTATTAGAACTAGAGCTGGTCTCCACTTCTAGGCACTTCAGTAATTCTTAGTAATATGTTTTTGCTTGTTTAATTGTGTTCTGGTTTCTTCCAAATTCGAATTGGTATCTCCCTCTCCCTCTTAATTAAAAGTTGTCTGAACAGTTTTATTTGGGTAATCCCATACATAGCTTGACATGTTCTCTTTATTACTGCTGTAGTTGAGGTGTAGTGGCCAATGCCACTGTAAATCAAAACTAAGGGAAGAGTCTGAATTTAATGCAAGAAATAAACTCACATTTTGAAGAAAACAACTTTGACATTTTAAGCAAAAACCTACCTAAAAAGATTAACTGGCTTGGCATATGTGAGATTGGTGGTTTTTCACTTGTTTAGTTTAGAAGTTTTGGGAATTTTCATAGGTGAAGTTCTTTTTGTACAAGTGTGTGTGTATATGCGCATGTGTGCACACTTGTGCTATTTCCAAATTCCAGAACAGTTAAATTCATGGAGTTGGTAGCAAATTGGTACCAGGAAGTGGGGTTGTTACTATAACAGATACTTGAAAATGTGGAAGCAGCTTTGGAACTGGATAATGGGAAAAGGCTGGAAGAGTTTGTATGAGCAGGCAAGAAGAGGCCTATGTTGCCATAAATGGAGCATTAAGGGTGATTCTGGTGAGGGCTAGGAAGCAAAGAGTAGGAAAAGTTTGAATCTTCTTAGAGATTACTTAAGTGGCTATGACCAGAATGTCGATAGAAATACAAACAGTAAAGGCCATTCTGATGAGGTCTCAGATGGAACTGAGGAACAAGGAGCTAAAGTCATCCTTATTATAAAATAGAAGAACTTGACTGAAATGTGTCCCTGCCTGAGGGCTTTATGGAAGGCAAAATTTAAGAAGGATGATCTAGGATATCTAGTAGAAGAAATAATAAAGCAGCAAAAAAGCATACATGCTGCTGCATGGGCACTTTTAATGACTTACTGTAAAATAAGAGAGGAAAAGGCAAAATTTAAGAAGGATGATCTAGGATATCTAGTAGAAGAAATAATAAAGCAGCAAAAAAAGCATACATGCTGCTGCATGGGCACTTTTAATGACTTACTGTAAAATAAGAGAGGAAAGAGATAATTTAAGAACAGCTTTATAAATAAAAGGGAAGTAGAGTGGAAAGATTTGGAAATTTTGCAGATTGGCCATGTGGTAGAGAATCAAAGAACATTTTCAGCAAAGGAAACCAAAGGGGTGTGACCATGCCACTGGTTGATAAGGAGATTAGTATAGATAGAATGAAGCCAGAGGCTATTCACCAGGACAATGGGAGAAAAAATCTAAAGGTATTCCAGATATCTTTGAGGCTGCTCCTTCCATTACAGGCTCAGAGCTCTAGCAGGGCAGAATGAATTGGGGGATGTGCCTCTGCCCAGGACTGCCTCAGGTTTCTATTCCCTGTTTTCCTGTGCAGCACACCTTAGCACCCTCAGCTGTGGCTTAAGTGGCCCCAGTTGTGGCTCTGTCTGCCACTTAGAAAGAACAAGTCATAAACCTTGGTGGCATATGTGTGCTGGTAATTCTCCAGGCACGCAGAATGCAAGAGCTGTGGGGGCATGGCTCCCTCCACCTATAATTCAAAGGATGTCATAAGCAGCCTGGGGGCCCAGGCAGAGACTGGTGGCAAGGGCAAAGTAGTCAAGCCCGTTCATCTTGAGCAGTGCCTTGGGGAGCCACAGAATCTCACTGTACGGTTTATCAGTCTCTTCAAGGCGCTTCTGCCTGTCTTGGTTGAATTTGTTTGCATCATATGTGCACTTCATGGTCAAAGTCCTTAAGAAAGGAGGCAAGAACCCGGCTCCATAAGGCATTGCTTTTGGCCACTTGAGTGCCACCCTTCCTAACTGGAGTTGTGGTGCTTTGGCAGAGGCTGTGGGGAGGTGGGGACCGAGCCACAAGGGGCCAGTAGCAGATATAGGAGGAGGAAAAGTAAGGGGCTGTAAAGGGTGGAGAGGGTGGACAGGGACCCACAGGAGTTAGTAGGAGGGACCCCCCACCACCTTTGAGGTCTGGTCATAAGTCTCGAGGCCTGTACCTGAAGGTCCCGAAACAAAGACCGATAGAAACATCCTGCTCTAGCTGAGAGTGAGTGGTGGATTTTCAATTTTTAAAGTGTTCTTTAAAAAAAAAAAGTTGAAGAATTTGCAACAGACACTAAATGTGGCCTGTAAAGTCTAAAATATTTACAGAAAAAGTTTGCTGGCCCCAGCAAAAAATAATCATGTTCAAGAAAGGATTTAGACGGTAGCATCTTCTTAATTCAGGAATGTGGTTACCATTTTGGGGCACAAAAAGATGGGCAAGAGAAGTGACTAAACTTCAACTTTAAAATATTTGTTTATGCACAAGAATTTCACTTCTTATCTCAGGTTCTAGATTACTTTCAAGATCAGTTTTCTAACAGACCAGGAAACCTGGTGCTCCCCAAAATAAAATGAAGCGCTGTTGAGGGGAGCTCATTATGTTGTGTCGAGATGTCTGCAGTCACGACAGGTCATGTTCCAGAGAAGGTCTGGCACTGTGCCTCGCAGCTCTGTGCATACCACAGAGAAGACAGCAGATGCTTCTCTGAACTTGCTGAAAGCTTTGTAAAAGAAAAGCATTCTTGTTAAATCTTGGCAGGGACACTTCAACAGTGAATGCTTATGTTCCGTATCTTCCGGGGATTTTCTCAAAGTCTTCTCAGTCCTTTCAGGGTTTCACGGTAAAAGACAAACACATCGATTTGTACCAGTGATTTTTGCACATTTTTGCCCCTAAACTCCTGGCTTTAGGCAGTGCTTCCCAACCTGGGGTAAAGAGAAGATACTGCCAGGGGCTTGAGGCCAGAGATGGGGCGGCTCTGCCTGGCCACCCTGAGGCTGAGGAGATCAGTATTTCACCACCAGGTTTCCACACCTGCTCACTCTAGAGTAACAACTCTCAATGCACAGATACTTAAATTTTAAACTCAGGCATACACAGAATAGTTTTCCTTATAAGGAGCAAGAAACTAAAACATGCAAATGTGTTTTCCAAGCTTTAGAACAGATCAGCTTTAGAATTCTGTGCGGCAGTGTGCAATGCAGAAAACCTACCTTTCAGTAAATTATTGAGTTATTTATTCCAGTGTTTCATTTTGTATTTTATTGAGTTTCCCTTTCTGTAATGAATGATGTGACCAACCAAGGAGAATTCTTTGTTCTGTTACTAAAATTATATTTTACAGTTAGGAGTACATGAACACAAAATATTTTTTAAGTGACGTTTTCCACTCAAGGTAAGAATTGTTATCTTGGAAGTTTGTCATGGTGCCATGTCACTTTCTGTGTCTGGCAACCTCGCGTTTCCGCACTTGCACACGGGAGGGTGCTGAGAATCAATAAAGCAGAAGTTCACTCAATGGCCTGTAGTCTCTGTGAGTTTGCTTCTTCCTGATGAATCTTTAAGCAGAAGTGTCTGTGGTGTTTGAGTCTAATTACTTGTTGGAATGACTAGTTGAACTTGAGTCTAAATTTAGTAATTAAAAGGTCTGAGACAACTGCACGCTCTGCATTTGTTGTATGGGGTGTGATCCAGGGAGTGTGCTGGGAGGCATCTGTGCCCTGCAGCACAGAGACCCATGTTTCACCAGGAGAAATATCAGCCATAACGCGACAGTAAGCCATGCACTAACAATAATTGCCAAACTGAGACAACTGTTTATAAGGTCACCATTTTACAATAGCCTTTTGTGTATAGACAAGAAACAGAAATAAAACCAATCACTTTGGTGTATTTGCTCTTGTACATAGTAACAGCAAATGCTGACTTTATATTACTCCATTTTGCAATTAGGTCTAAGCTTAAATAAAGCTTTTGGCTTATGTCCAGAGAATGTGAACCTCATTATTAATGTTACTCGTAGCTGGCAGAAAAGATGAGATCAGAAGCGAGGTGTCTCTTTCAGCTGTTCTGGAATATATAGAGGTTTTCCTGGCGGAGGAAGGTGGGCCTGATACATAATCTGAAAATATATGATAGAGACAGATGGGAAGGGAAGGGGACCAGCTGTTAAGAACAACGGAAACAAAGGCCTAAGGCATGTATGAGAAGAAGAGAGGGAAGGGCAAAACACAGTGGGGGTACAGAGAGCAGAGGCGGCTGGACAGCGTGCCCAAGCCGTTGGTGGCCGGAAGGAAACGGTAATAATGTTGAAACAGAACATGCTGAAATAATTTTTGAGGCAGTGTAATAAATATAGGTCTTTTTGCCTGTGGATAAATACATTGCAGTACCTATGGTCGCTAAAGATGTATAAATTTTTATTCTACTTGGTGGAAGAGAAGTACCTGTTTCCAACAGCTAACCACGTCAACATATCCTTTTTGAGGCAGTGTAATAAATATAGGTCTTTTTGCCTGTGGATAAATACATTGCAGTACCTCAGGTGGCTAAAGATGTATAAATTTTTATTCTACTTGGTGGAAGAGAAGTACCTGTTTCCAACAGCTAACCACGTCAACATATCCAAAAAGGACATGGTTCTGGGTTTTTTCATTTGTTTTTAATTAGCTTCCATTTGTTCCATGGTTTGCACAGGGGGGACTGTGGTCTTGTCCCACACTGGTCTGGGAGTGGAGAAGTATACATGACCTTTGTCAAGTCAGACTATCTTCTTTTGGTCATCAAAAGACAAAGGAGCGCCCCGCTGATCCCAAAGCACAATTTGGCAGGTTCAGATCGATTTGCCTGGACCATCAATACAGGATGAAAGGCGGTACCTTTAAGAGCCTTCTCAGTCCCTCCTTGTCTGGGAGCCTGTGGCCTCAGCCTGTGATCCTGCCTCCTCTTAACAAAAGAAGAGTTTATCTGTTGATGTGTCTTCATTTGTTTTAACAGGTTAGTTCCCCCCTCCCCCCTCTTTCAGTGAATATATCCATTAAGATTGACTAAAACCTGCTGCAGGGGAATCAAGGGGGCACTTTGGCCTTCGAACTTTGCCCTTCACCCTTGATCCTGGTTGACAGGTGAATTACATCTGGGCTCCAGACTTCACGCCACTTAGCTGTTTCTGTCAACAGCCCAAGTCTGGTGCCCGCATAAGAGACCCAAGTAAGAAGTCCAAACAAGAAAACCAGGCCTTAACGATTCTGTCCTGAGAATAGTACTCAAAGCTCCTCAGAACATAGAGGAGATGGGCACAAAAGACAGGCTTCTTGTATAAATACGTAAACTCAACTAAATGGAGAGAAAAGGAGATTTTCCACCCTCCTGTAAAACCAGTCATCAAATAAA